AGGCTCTTGCTGAGCCAGAACAAGCAATGGCCACCCTGTGTAAGTGCTCACCCATTCTGGCCTTCCTCTGGCACTGCTAATCTTCAAGGTAACTGCATGGCAAGGCCTCCTGGTATCACCCCCTTAGTCCAGTTTGGAACTGAGGTCACATAGCTGCAGTGGAGCTTCAGGCTGGGGGTGGCCCTGGAGTTGATCCCCAGGCAGGCCACCCCCAGCCAGTTCTTGACTAATGGCTTTTTTCTGAGCAGTCTGTTTTTGAAATTTTAAGAATGCCCTTGTGGCTCAGATCTGTTGTGTGCTGTGTGTTTTCCCAGCACTGCAAAGAAAGAAGACATTAAGCTGAGCGTCCGGAAGCTGCTCAAAAGGCACAACATCGTGTTTGGTGACTACACGTGGACCGAGTTTGATGAACCTTTTCTGACCAGAAATGTGCAGTCTGTGTCCATTGTTGACACAGAACTGAAGGCTAAAGACCCCCAGGTAACTTACTGGTCCACAGTGTCAGGAGCAGTTGACCCTCAGCCAGACACAGGATTGGTGTCATGAATATTTGTTGCTGTTGATAGCGTTTCACTTGCTTATCTGTTGGTTCTGACTGTCTCTCCTGGAACTGGGTGCTGGGGCAAGACATGGCCTGGTGTCAGGAGGCTATGGGTGCAGTGGGGCCCAGATGGGAATCCAGGCACTGGGATGCTGTACTGCAGGCTAATGGGCTGTCCTGGTGAGCCTTGGGTTTAGGTGCTGGGTGAAGGCGTCAGGACCCCAGGAGGTATAGAGGCTGTAGGCTGCGGGGGTGGGCCTGCCTGTGGCAGCTGTTCCTGACGTCCTGCTCGATAGCTGCCATACCCAGCATCTTACCAAGGTCATGTGGTCCCACATGTATAAGCTTTTTGTGGGAGCGGTGCAAACTGGCAGTCCTGTTATCAGTAAAAACCGGAAACGCATCCCTAAGGAGACAGCCCTGCTCGGCACTGTGCAACTCTTGCCTTTGAAGAAGGCTTGGCACTAGAACTGTGCGCGTGACACGGACTTCCGCGCTCGGCTGCTAGACTGGTGTTAGTGGCTCAGCATCCTCATCCAGTCCTGCGAGAAAGCATTTGACCTTTCCAAGCTGGAGGACAGTCAAGAGGAAACCTGATGGCAAGAGGACCGCAAGCCCCACGTGCGAGGGCTGAGCCTGGCCCGGCGTGTCCCAGAGTGCAGCTTCGCTGGGTTGAGACTCGAGCGCTTTCCTCAAGGAGCTTGTGTCACTTGGCAGTGATTAAAAAAAAAGAACAGCAAAGTTTCTTCTGAAGTCGATACGTGACCCAGCCCAAAGGGGAGGAATGAATTTATCCTAGACCCAAAGTAAGGCCACAGCTCTCCACCCACCCTGAGAAGGGGCTTTCATCGCCCTGTGCTGTTGACCGAGGACCTCGGCCTTCCTGTGTGTGGCCGGCCTCGGGACTGACCGGCTCTCCCCTCACAGCCCATTGACTTGAGTGCCTGTGCGGTCGCGCTCCACATCTTCCAGCTGAATGAAGACGGCCCCAGCAGCGAGAACCTGGAGGAGGAGACAGAAAATATCATCGCAGCAAACCACTGGGTGCTGCCTGCAGGTACAGGCCAGGGGGCTGGGGCTGAGGGGCCAGGTTGCAGGGTGGCCTGCGGGACTCGCTGAGCCAGTTCACTGAGGTCCGTTCGTCAGTTTTGTAGGACTGTAGGAAATCTCATCTCCTTTGAAGTGCAGAGCGTGGCTCTGTGATGGCCTCGTGTTACTACGACTAATACCTGAAACAGTGAACTTG